ACAATATTTATCATTAAAATTATATATATATATATTATAGATTATAGATGTATAAGAAGCTTGATAACAACTACTGCTTATTAAAAACTATAACATTAATAGGTAAAAGATATTAATTTGTGATACAATTCATAATGACAGATATATATGATCTGTGCTAAAAAAATTTCAAATATTTGAATTATAGTTCAAACGAAACTTGACAATCTTGTTTCTAAAAGGCAAATAGACCAAACTTTAAACTTTTCCGATAATGATCATCGGTTTTTGAAGCAGGATATTTCATGAAGTTTACATCCTAGTTTAGATATGTTTTTGTCCTTTAAACTACTACTCAATCCGTTTGGACTTTGGGGCAAGGTGAAGAAAAAAAAAATTTCAGTTGAACTTGATAATCTAAAAAAAAAAATTTTTTTTGCACAATTAATCATAAACTGATATGTGATTGTTTACCGTGAAAAACGTTACAAGGTTTTTTTTACTCGAACTAGCACACGAACAATGTTTCAATTTAGGTATTTAATTTAAAAACAGAAAACGAAATAGATAATGGAGTAAGAAGATTTAGTGATTACTTGTTTCTAAAGATTCTTCAATAATTAACAAGTAATAATTTCCAGACATATAAATGCTAAGAAGAACAGAATGGATAATTGAGATATTTGCAATACAAATCATGGTTCAACTTACATAACGTTCCAGAATTACAATGCTGAAGTAATACAACTACGTGGGTTTAAACGAGATAAACTAAGAAAACTACGCTAATTCTACTCCTAAAAAGCAAAGAAAAGTGGTCAAGAAATTGATACCCAGCAGATGCGTGCACGGAAGCCATATGCGCAGGCAGAGAGTGCTTACAGAAATGTGAGTATGAAATTTCCGACCCCTTGAAAGTACATATTCCTTCGTATTTATAGAGTCAAATGAAGGTGGTTAATTTTAGTGCATGTGCGTAATGGGAAGGTAACCGCCATCCACTATGCCCAATAGGTGGTTTTAGAATGTAACCTCTCGTAACCGCTCGTTCCACTCTTTTTCTTTTCACTTCGATCCATTTTCCGTTAACCGTTCTGAGATAACTACTCACTACTTGGAAACCTTCAGTAATTTCCATCTTTCGAGCACTTCTCAGTTTGATTCGACTCATTTTTTCGACTATATTTTGAGTACGAACAACTTGAGCTTTTGATACTTCCTGAAACTCCTGAATATGCTTTTCGAGTTACCTGATTTTCGAGTGATCCTAACAGTGATAAACCACTTTTTTTCAGTCACAAAATTTTGAAACAAAACTGTTGACGAAGTTTACATATGTTTTTGTCCTTTTAACTACATCTGTTTCTATCTTGATATGGTTTGGCCATACCCCGTGCTCATTTTATGTTCCCACGGAAAGTTGTGGAGAGACATTCATCGAAATGTTGAAATTTCTTAATTTAAGTGTTCTGGATACAACACTTCAAAAGCGTATTTGAGTAAATAATTTAATTATATTTATTGATTATTTTTAATTTTAAATATCGGAACTTATTAAATATAAATGAATCAACAATGAAAGAGCTTAATTTACATACACTTGTAGTACACTCTTAGCTAATAAAAAAATATTGTTGATGTGATTTTTATTGTCTATTTTAAAATGCGAAAAATCTCATAATAGAGTATTAAGAATAAAAATATTGTAAAATCATCACATTTTTTCAATTTAGTTACTTAATAAACAAGGACAAAGAATTAATAAATTGGAGAGATTACATTGATCCAGTGAAAGAAAGATGTTCTTATACAATAAATGACCTTTATTTTTGTATACATATTTTTATTAAAATTATTTGTCCTTTTATATATAATTTCAACATTCTTTTATTTTAATTTCTCTTTTATTGAACAACAACCTCCAAAATTATATCACTTTATATTATTTTTATTTCATTGCTTTTTATTCCATGTCTTTTTCACTGATTATAATTCCTCATATCATTAAGATAGATATCATAAAAGGTTGAAAAAGTTTCCTTGCATAACAATTTTTATTTGTATATCTATATAATTAAAACCTCTTTACATTATGGCGATGCCTAAACTATTTATTCAATAAATGACCACCCAAAGTACTTTTTATTTTATTTTATTAAAAAATGCACGAGTAATTCCAAAAACAAAAAGAATAATAGGTTAGACACTTGAATATGATAATTAAAACTACCCTTATTCAGCAGCGACAGAATTAGAATTGTGTAACCTTAGACCCTGGGTTTGTTGTCTGATTGTCTCTTCAACAGTGGTAAATGGCAACTACTACCAAGTAGTAATAAGTAACAAAAATTGTAATAATAACTAATAAGCCAAGTCAATGGGTTCCACAAACCAACCAACGTACCACCAGCTTCCGTTTGAAATTTAAAATGTGTTGGGGGGTGACGTTAGCATAAACAAATGGTTGAGGGGCACGACTACAATTTACGGAACTTGAATTTGAAATGAGGCGGGTCCTGCTCTTATTCTTATTCCATTGTGAAGTAAACAAGTGAGCGAGAGCGAGAGCGAGCTTCTCCAAATTCAGATCAAAATGTCGAAGGAAACTCGAAGCTCGAGTCGAAGAAACCCTCAAAACGAAACGAACGAGAACGAATTGGAACCGTGGCTGAACCCTGTAAACTTTCCACCTCCTCGAACCCCTCTGAACTCCATACCAGATCCCTCTCAGTATCAGGAACCCGAACCTGCTCGACCCGCTCGGTTCGGGAATGCCACTCCCAGGATTTCCGGTAGGATCGGGAAGCCCTACTCTGAACCTAGCTCGGCGCAGAGCACGCCGTCAAGGAACACTCCCAGGGTTTCCCTCGGCGGAGGAAGAGGAGCGAGTTCGTGCGCGTTGCTCAAGGACACCGAATTCTGCGTCCAGGTTCCGCATTTCGAGCTCAAAGACGACCCGTCGTTCTGGACCGATCACAACGTGCAGGTGCGTTTTCACTTTCGGTTTCAGTTTCAGTTTCATACTTCTGGATTGGTTTTTCTGGCGTCGTTTATGTGATTGAGGTTACGTTTTCAGGTGCTAATTAGGACTCGGCCGTTGAGTAATAAGGAGAAGTTCTCGCAAGGGCACGGTAGGTGTTTGAAGCAGGAAAGTGCGCAAACTTTGGTCTGGCTTGGTCATCCTGAAACCAGATTCACCTTTGATCATATAGCCTGTGAGACCTTATCTCAGGTAAACCTTCACTTTGTCGCAATTACGATGCAATGTTTGTTAATCTCTCCTATTTGTACAAACTATATTTTGTTTCAAATTTAGAGTGAAGTGTTTTTACATAGCGAGAGTGCTGAATTGGAAATGGCTTACGCACATGCTTATTAGCTATGATGCACAGATACAATCCAATACCTACGATAATGCAATTATTCCAAAAACATATGATAAAATGCATGTAAGATATATGACTAGAAATTCATAAAATTAATAAATATATAATATATTATAATTATATATTATATAATAAATTTAGAACATAATTCTCGGACATTATTAAAAATAAAATAAAACAAAAATTATAAATCATTGTCATCATTAATCACTTCCTATTGTTTACAATTAACAATTAAAGATAGTATTAATCTCATTCTTTGCTTGAGACCATTAATACAAGGACAATTTCCATTTTTGGTACATTGATTTGAGAGATAATGATTCGATATTATACATGCTTCTATATATGTCTCAATGTCCATATGTAGCTTTATTAGATTTTCATAATTTCTTTTAAATATTTGGATACTTCATAGATATGTATGAGGGGAGTATCTAAGAGTATCGGCATTAGACAATTCACAATAGACACATCAGATATAGACATGTGAAGCAACTGAAAGTATTGGTGCTTCGTAGCTTGTTAGTTACTAATTATTGTGGTGAATTGGTGTAGGAAAACCTGTTCAGAGTTGTTGGAGTGCCCATGGTGGAGAATTGTTTGTCCGGTTACAATAGTTGTATGTTTGCTTATGGTCAGGTACGTGCGACTTGTGGGGATTTGTTGTCTTGTTCTTTGCTACTAGCTGTTACGTATTTCTGTGCTTCTTGCTGAATTTGTTTTTTGTGGTTGATTGTCTCCAGACAGGTAGTGGCAAAACATACACGATGATGGGTGAGATTAAGGAAACAGAAGGATACCTTACGGAAGATAGTGGGATAACACCAAGAGTTTTTAATTATTTGTTTACGAGGATTAAAGCGGTGTGATATTCAGAATGCTTGTGTTTTCACATGAATCGACTGCTGTTACCAGTTTAACTTGATTTCTCGTTACCCATATTTTTCTTCAAATGATGGATTTCTTAAGAAATATTTATAATGTAGGAAGAAGAGAGCAAGCAGGACTACAGGCTGAAATACAGTTGCAAGTGTTCCTTTTTGGAGATATACAATGAGCAAATAACTGATCTTCTTGAACCTTCATCAACTAATCTGCAAGTAATCTACAATTTCTAGTATCTAATCTGATTTAAATTGTAGTTAACTTGTTATTGTTAATGCTCTGTATAATGGAGTTTAAAATTCAATATTCTCTCTGTAGCTCAGAGAAGATCTGAAGAAGGGGGTATATGTTGAAAACCTCACTGAACATAGTGTGGTCACAGTTTATGATGTTCTCAGGCTTTTGTTACAGGTTGGGTTTTGTGCTCAAATATGTTCAGAATTAAAATTTACCTTCATATTTTATACTGTGCTTCCTACACAATTACACAGGGCACTGCAAATAGAAAGGTGGCAGCTACTCATATGAACTGTGAAAGCAGTCGGTCTCACAGTGTTTTCACTTGTATTATTGAAAGCCAATGGGAGAAAGATTCTATGACTCACTTTAGGTTTGCTAGGTTAAATTTAGTAGATTTGGCTGGTTCTGAAAGGTAACTGAAAGTTTATGATCAGAATCTTCTTTATATACCATTATTCTTTTTCTAAACCTGGGTTGACTTACACTTTTATCTAGGCAGAAAAGCTCTGGAGCAGATAGTGAACGTTTGAAAGAAGCAGCAAATATAAACAAATCCTTGTCAACGCTCGGGTAACTAACTATAAAGAACTTGTTTATCAATTTATTTCTTGTTCATATATTCTGGTTGAATGTTAATGAACACTGTTAGAACAAGTTGTTGAGTTCAAATGGCTGACCCTTGTTGTTTTGTTAGCTTGGTTATAATGACTTTGGTGGACTTAGCCCATGGGAAGCCTAGGCATGTTCCTTACAGAGATTCAAGACTTACATTTCTTCTTCAGGTTAGATACATGAAGTTCTTAAAATTCAGATGATTTTCTCAGTAATTTTACATACAATCTAGTACAATTTTCTGTAGTAATATGTTTGTACGCTCCAAAACATTACATGCAGGATTCTTTAGGTGGAAATTCAAAGACAATGATCATTGCAAATGTCAGCCCATCCATTTGGTTTGTGTGAACTTGTTGCTTGAAAAATTAAATAAAAACACAATGCTCCTTGCCATTTCTTTGTTTTCTTATGTCATTTATATTGATTTTTCTCCCCTTGCAGCTGCGCTAACGAAACGCTAAGCACTCTGAAGTTTGCTCAGCGAGCCAAGCTCATTCAAAACAATGTACTCACCTATTTAAATACGTGCTTTCCTTTCCTTTTTCTTTTTTTTTCCAAATTTTTTGGGCATGAGAGTGAATTAATTGATTTTTTTCCCCATACACCAAAAGGCAAAAGTGAATGAAGATGCTTCTGGTGATGTAAGTGCACTGCAGTGGCAGATTCAACAATTGAAGGTATTTGATTGCAAGTTTTCAAAATTTTGAGAATTATTCAACAAAACTATACATCATTGGGGCTGACTCAGCTGTGGCATGAACTGAACTTGAACAGGGTCAACTGTCCTTTCTGATGAACAATAAAAATTTTCCAACCTCTATATCAAATATACAGCAAAATTCTGAAAGTTGTATGTTGAGTGAAGTGTCAGAAGGATATGAGATTTTGGGGGAAAGAG